GAGAACACAGCCCATAGGCTTCCTCCAGGAGGGAGCTGAAAAGAGGAAGTCCCATTCTAGCTCCATTTCTGGGTGTTTTGCTCAAATCGAGGGTTTTTTCCCCCTTTCAAAAGAGCAAATTCATGCCAGGCATGATGGGTCATGCCTGTAATCCTGCCACTTTGGGAGGCCAAGGTAGGCGGATCACCTGAGGTCGGGAGTTCAAGACCAGCCTGGCCAACATGGAAAAACCCCATCTCTACTAAAAATACAAAAATTAGCCAAGCATGGTAGTGCATGCCTATAATCCCAGCTACTCGGGAGGCCGAGGCAGGAGAATTGTTTGAACCCGGGAGCCGGAAGTTGCAGTGAGTCGAGATTGTGCCACTGCACCCCAACCTGGGAGACAGAGTGAGATACTGTCTCAAAAAAAAANAAAAAAAAAAAAAAAAAAAAAAAAGGAAAAGAGAAAGTGTGTAAAGGAGGGACCCTGTCTTCATTGTGCTTTGGTTTTGATACTTAGTTATGAGTGGTTCCATGGTGGTGGAGGCTGCTGATTGAAAGGGAAACAGAGGGGTGAGAGATTTTTGTTGAAAATCTGGAGAATTCTTAGAAGCCCCCATGTTTCCTGGGCCCTAGAAATGATTGAAGCCAAATGGGCTTGTGAGGAATTTTGAAATTTTGAATTTCACCTGAATTTTGGATGTGATTTTTCTCTATCCTGTGCATAGAAACAGAGAGAGACTCTTTCCCTTGGGATTTTGTGAATCCTGTCTTTACCTCATTGCCCAAAGCACCAAATTCATTTTACTGACCTCAGAAAAGATATCACCAGCCTGGCCTGGGAATAACACATGGGAAATTGAAGACAGTCATATAATTAAGTTCACAAAAGGCCAGTTCTTATGGCCATATTTCAAATGCTCATAACGCCTTCTCATCCATTCTACCAAATGATTTGGCTTCATAATATATTCAGAGTGAAAAAACAAATGGATTCTTCTGAGATATTCAATTAGTTCAATAAAAACAGAAAAATAATTTTTCAACAAAGGAATTTAGCTACATGACTAAAGCTGACAGTGAAAAACCAACTTCAAAGTAATTATGTATTTCTTTTGAGTTCGCACTCTCACAAAAGTTGATGATAAGCCACCATTAGAAATAGCCATCCTTCAAATGATTAATTGCATTTGTGTTGCTGTTTTAGCAGACATTTATTTGAATGTTTACTCTGTAACTGTCTTTGGGTGTTGATATATTTAAATTTCCACCAGCCCCACTAAAGAGTATCGGCTCTCACTTCTTTATGACTCGCTGTTCAGCTTCCTTTAAGCTGGTTTCTTCCCCATTAGTGGAAACCTCTCCCAAAGAAAAGTCACAAGTGAGTCTCCTTCAAAATCCCATTGCTTCCCTTTTTCTTCTTATCCTCATGGGGGTCATGACACATTTAATTATGCATCATTGACTCCTCTTCCAATTCATTTCTCCCCCATCTCTCCTGCAAAACTAGCATCTTTTTTTTTTTTTTTTTTTTTTTTTTTTTTTTTTTGAGACGGAGTCTTGCCCTGTCACTCAGGCTGGAGTGCAGTGGCATGATCTCAGCTCACTGCAACCTCCGCCTCCCAGCTTCAAGCAATTCTCCTGCCTCAGCCTCCCGAGTAGCTGGGATTACAGGAACGTACCACCAGGCCCTGCTAATTTTTTGTGTCTTTAGTAGAGACAGGGTTTCACCATGTTGGTCAGGCTGGTCTCAAACTCCTGACCTCGAGATCCTGACTTTGTTATCCTCGGCCTCCCAAAGTGCTGAGATTATAGATGTAAGTCACCATGTCCAGCCCACATCTGCCCTTTAAACTTTGGGGTCTCCTAGGATTCCATATTCCACCACTCTGGCATTCTGAACTTTCACCTTGGCTAACCACTTTGTTAGAGAGATCTCAAAGGCATCTATATGTTGGTGACTTTCCAACCCCTAACTTAACCTGGGCACTTCCCCCAGGCTGCACACGTCTGCACAGGTGCGTTCAATTCGCGGGGCCGTTAGTACAGTCAAAGCTGAACTACTTGTCTTCCCACTTCCCACTGCACTCTGCTATTCTTCTGGCAGCCTTGTTTGAGTGCTTGATCAGCAAGACAAGATGCCGCTTTCCTGCACAAGCTGCAGACTTCCTGCCTCTCTTCATCCATGGCTGGTCTGCTTGCCTGCAGTGTCTCACATTTCCTAGCAATCCAATTGTGTGTTTTCTCAAAATAAGTTAGATCAGATTGTTCCTGGATCACTGCCTTCCTGGAAAGCCTCTGGTGGCCTCGTGCACTCTGTGGAGTCAGTGCAGGCCCCTCGTGATGCTACTCAAGGCTCTCCAGGAGCCCAGGCCATCCGGTGCACTGAGCAAGGACGAGGAGGAGCAGCTCCACCATGGCACCCCATGACATTGTGTGTAGAGCACATGGGGAGGGTGTGGCCTGCAGCTGCGCTGAGTCTTGGCAGAACACCCCACGGTCCCCCAGCCAGTTTCTCATTGCCTTCCGGGTTCTGTGAGGTGCAGGGACTTTCTGCCTGCCCCTCTCAGGGCACAGCTGCTGCCGTGGAACTGCTGAGAAGCAGCTTGGAGTTGGCTCTGCTGCCACACCCCTTCTTTCTGCTGCAGTTGTCCAGTCCCTTTTATTTTGCCATGACCTGCACCAAGGCCACAATGCCCACACCTCCTTTTACAGTCTCTGTCAGTAATAAACTGTGCATCTAAAGAGGTCTCGTTTCTTCACCAGGCCTTGCCTATGTCCTGTTTGCCCACTTCAGATACTCACTACCCTTCTAACCCCCATGTAACCCGACGGCCAAACTGCAAACAACATGCATTGCAAAACATAAATACCATACATGATAAAATAAAATTAAATGTGGAAATCTGGCTAAGTGAAAATAAGGATTAGAAAAATAAAACGGAGCCGTGTGTTAGGTTAGTACTGTATGGTGTTACTATATTAAATTGATAAGAACAAATCTACCTTTGACGTAAGCCAAAAGGCCAAGAAACGATTGTATTATGGTATCGAATTATAGTGCCACAATTTTAGAGGTGCCTCACTTTCTTTCGGGAATAAGGCAAATCTGTACATTTAAAATGTGTGACCTGTGAATTTGGCTCTAACCTTTCTTGCAGAAAATTAGAAACTACCAACAAATTATTTGTCCCAAGAGCAAACCTCTAATGCACAAATGATTAAAAATGAACTCAGAGAAAACTTAAAGCAAGCTGAGTTTTAACATTAAAAACCCTTTCTTTAAGTGAAAGACTATTTTAGGGCCAGATGCAATGGCTCGCGCCTGTACTCCCAACATTTTGGGAGGCTGAGGCGGGTGGGTCACTTGAGGTCAGGTGTTCGAGATCAGCCTGGCCAACATGGTGAAACCCCATCTCTACTAAAAATACAAAAATTATCTGGGCATGGTGGTGCATACCTGTAATCCCAGGTACTTGGGTGGCTGAGGCAGGAGAATCGTTTAAATCCAGGAGGCAGAGGTTGCAGTAAGCCAAGATCGCACCACTGTACTCCAGCCTGGGCGACAGAGTGAGACTCTGTCTAAAATTTTTAAAAAGACATTATTAGATTAATGATTATGAGGGCCATTTTCTTAAAATTATGTCCCCTAAAATGAAAAATATTCCTGGAAGAAGCTGAAATATTAGGAAAAAAACAAGCCTTTAAAAATAAGGCCCAAAGATTATATGATGATTGCTTCTGTGCCTCTGTAGCCAGCTAGTGATCTCATTTCTCATCACTAGCCCACTTTCCTCAATCTGTCCTGTCCACCAGAGTCAACCATTGCAGCCCCCAGTGACACCATCTGCATCTGAGACTCTTTTTCACTCCCAGAAAAAAATCTCTCAGATTAAATCTTTCCCGCTTTAGTCAACCCTCCAGTTAGGGTAGAGCTACAACCGTGAGACCAGGGCCATCGCTCACAGAAACTCCTTCCTCCCCATACTACCAATATGCGTGAATGCCTGGCTACTTATATAAAAGTTTAATTTGATACGTGAGGAGAAGTCATATTTATCTCCATTTTTTGAATAGATTTCAGTGTATGAGAATGACTTTTGTGTCAGAAGCTTCGCATTCTAAGGGTAAAGTGTAAAGCCTGAGGAATTTCAATCTGAAGTCTTGTATATGATAAAGGGCTTTGTAAACCACTAAATTTTATACCAAAAAAAGTAATCTGTTATTGATAGTCTTGTTTGCAACTATTAAAAACTGGGAAATGGGCTGGGCGCGGTGGCTCATGCCTATGATCGCAATAGTTTGGGTGTCTGAGGCAGGAGGATTGCCTGAGGCCAGAAGTTTGAAATCAGCCTGGGCAACATAATGAGACTCTGTTCTGCAAAAAACACAAAAATTATCCTCTGAGATGCAGATGCTAAAAAAAAAAACAAAATTAGCCAGGTGTGGTGGCACATGCTTGTGGTCCCAGCTGCTCGGGATACCGGGGTGGTAGTTTCGCTTGAGCCAAGGAGGCTGTGGCTGCAGTGAGCCATGATTACACCAGTGCATTCTAGCCTGGGTGATGGAGTAAGACCATGTCTCAAAAAATAAAATAATGAGGCCGGGCGCGGTGGCTCACGCCTGTAATCCCAGCACTTTGGGAGGCCGAGGCGGGTGGATCACGAGGTCAAGAGATCGAGACCATCCTGGTCAACATGGTGAAACCCCGTCTCTACTAAAAACTACAAAAAATTAGCTGGGCATGGTGGCACATGCCTGTAATCCCAGCTACTCAGGAGGCTGAGGCAGGAGAATTGCCTGAACCCAGGAGGCGG